CTTTTCTTCTTAACATTCTTATTTGCGCATACTTTTGATGGTATTAGTCCTTTTATGAACGTATGAGTAGCACAAATAAGAATGTTAAGAAGAAAAGAATACGTTTTCTCGCCGGGTTTTGTTCATTAGCTTCGTTCAATTTCAAAGGTTATTGTATACAAGCATGTATTACATACATACGTGTGTATACAATGAATGTGAACATATCTACCAAGAATAGGTACCTTGATAGCTCGCTTTCTCTTTCCTTATGCTTAATGATTATAACTCAACTTTCGCTGTCTCATTAATGAAAAGTTGATCGAACAAATATATGTGAAATTTAGGTTACATATCAAACAAGACCTGTGTATGATCCTATCAATGAATATATGACGAGGGCGAGGGTGAATGAGGGAATAGAATAAACCTACTACACTTACTATGATGTATATTACTACGCTCCTTTCTCTGTTTCTTTGATGATGGTCATCATGATGACAATGATAGTGTAACAAATATGAAAGGAGTAAGAAATAACAAATAAAGGCTAAAAAAATGTTTCGATCTATGTTCACGTAATTCAATACTATGCTCACATATGTAGATGCATGTATGCCTGCACGCGCAAGACGAAAATGAAAAGGTTCACTTTCATATAAATGACATGCTGAACGAAAGAGAGTAATAATATGCAAATTTGACTAAGGCTCTCTATTACCTTCTTTCTTTCTCTCTCTCTCCTCTCCCTCGTTTCTTCGGAAGAAAGATTGAAAGGTGTCAAATTGAATATATGACATACAAATGTTCAATATCACAACATCGTATCCAAACCTCTACGATAAATATCTACTATTTACCTCCAGTGCTGCTATTTTAATTTAACGTTCATCGAAAATAGTGACTGACTGATAATGATTTGATGAATGTCCTCATCCTCACTTTACTAGACACAAATCTGACTCGTAACGATATTCAAATAATATTCATCATGATGATACACAATGACAAATTACACAATCTATTTCGATACTAACAAAAAAAAAAGACGTAGGCGCATACTTTCACACGTGATTGCTCCATTTCCTATATACAAGGTAATCTGATCATGATCGCGATTTTATATCTTTTTCTTATTTTAACATGCAAACAAACTAATGTAAAGCGTATTCGGTATATTTTGTATACGAAAAATTGTTGATCAAAATCGTATGTTGATAAGATTAAGGTGGATACTTCAACATTCGTACATATAATTTTCACGCTGGGAAGCTCGATAAATTGCAATGTTGAAAACCTAACTAAATAATATAATGACTTCAATGTTTTCTTTCTTTCTTTTATATTTTACACAAACCGATTGTAGTCGAAGAGCTCGTAGTCGAAAAAAATGTGCATGACTCCGTTGGATGAGTGTACTTGTCTCAAGCATATTTTTTAATAGACAACAACACAAACATTTTCAACTATGAAAATTTTCTTTTTACTAAATTTAGAGGAAAAATAAACATTTATCTAAGACGACAACTAGGTTTCAGTGACGGCAATAAATTCATTTAACATTCGAGAAAATGACAAAGTATGAGTAATACTACTAATTTCAGATTGATCTGTGTTTTATTTGTTTTACTTATTTGAATTGATCATCTGTGAATTATGCAAATAGATCAAAGATGTACTTATTCAAATAAAAGAATAATGTAACGAATTCGCTTGTATGTTTGAATACAATATTCGAAACATTGTTGAAAGTGTTACAAACAAAGAAATGAAATGTAATCATGTAATCGCTCGAATACTATGCAGATAATCGTCTATGTGTACAATGAATACAAAATCACGACATCATGTCTTTCACGATCAGGTGTGAAATCATGAAGAAATCTCCTGATAGTTTCAAAGAAAAATCTGTGAACAAATCAAATACGCGAACTTCTATCTGCCAATTGCAAAGATGTTAGCAATAATTCGTTTGTTCGATAGTTGTTAACAGTATGTATTAGGTAGATTACGTCAGAGTTTGTTCCTCTAGGATATCTAGATGAGTACTTGTTGAGTAGAGATGAATTTAACTAACAATTTCACAAATCAAATAGAGAAGAGAATCTATACATGAAACTATCGCTTTTCGTGGCGGACAAGTGTGAGCTACTTATACATAGCTTATCACTTTACGCGATAGTGTGCATGGATGTATCGATAACTCTAGCTTTCGAATTCATTTGAACCGTATACACATTTTCTTTCTCATTCAAACAGTTGACCATTATTCTCATCAACAGTAAATGAATCCTCACAGTCAAGAACACACTTCAACACATGACTTTTCAATTTAGAATTGAGAATTATCATTATCATTATCATAATTAGAACATTCGCTAGCTGATATATAGCCATACTTCATTCAAATGATTCAGTGCTTTCAAATAGATCTATCATGATAGGATCAAGAAATATGTGTGAATATAAAAATGACTAGATATTTCAATAGGATTAGTCAACAATGTATACATAAAGTGCGAGACATTACTTTGATCTATAGATGTACGTCTTCCCTATATGATTTACTCTAATGAATTACTTGGTTGATCTTTCTGTCGATATGACATTTATTGTTTGTTTTTTGAGACTTTTCATTGAAAACAATGAACTTGCAAGTGAATAAATTATCGAAGCAATATCAATATCGACAATGCATCGAGATGCTTTCATATGAGTATCAAGGGCATCCTTTCATGGAGTAAATATTTCGAAATCTGTTTGCTAATGCACTAACCTGATTAATCATTATCGTTAAAATCATCAATGATACACGAATTCATCGAGAACACGCGAAACTATTGGAAAGATGTGAATGAAAGGGGAAAGTGTCGGAAGTAAACTACTTAATTGATCGTTATTGAGTTCAGACGTGCACAGTTCTCTCTCTAAGAAAGACAGTGTAGTTCAAGTGGAAAAGTAGTTCAAAGTGCATTGAAGTAATTCAAAGTATGTAAGAGTAATTTCAAGTATACTGAAGCACTTCAGAGATACGGACGAATAGTGTAACGTACTATTCTTTGAAAATCGAAAATTATTGCCAAAGTCACATTCATATACCAATTCGAATTCATTTCTTACTCATGCGTATTAATTTTCTTGTTTTATGCGTCAGTTGATTTTTGATTATTTAATAAAGTCTCTCCGACGAGTAATATTTATTTCGATAGATTTATGCGTTTGTATTTCAACAAAACGATTTATTGCAAATAATAGATTGGGTTATTAATTCTGTTGGTAGAATGACAGTTGTCAGAAATTTGATGACCACTTATTTTCAGTAGATCGTTTAAAGCTTTCGTGATGCTCATCGTATTGACCGACGTGGATTTATAGAAAAAAGAAACAAAAAATTGAGCATCTTTGTTTCAATGATCTCTTAATGATTGATACAAAGAAAAGTTTGCTGTTCATTTTAATCTCAAGATAAACGAGCTTTCTTGGTTGGAATATTCTTTTGATAATAATATCTTAAATTTGATTGACTCAATTGATTAAAAATTTGTGCATTGTGTTTATTAGGTAGTCGAATTTAAACTCTTAATTTTTGATGAAAATTTGTGTAATGATCAAATTTAAGACAATTGCCGTTGAAACTGTTCATAATTGTACATATATTTTTCTATATATCTCGATAATCAAATATTAACTCTGATCTACTGTTACAAGTTCATAAATTCTATCGAATTGTCCGATGCAAACATGGATATATTTCGACTATTTGTTCATTAAATCGCCTCTAGACTGTATGTACAGATGAACAATCCATCAAGTGAAAACGATACAGTAAGCACAGACGATGTTGACGTTCGGCTAAAGATTGAATTGAAAGATGAGTCATTCTATGAGAGTTGATTCTGTCTTTGCGATTTATTCCAGTATGTCATACATTTGTTTTGTTACATGACTAATATATATATATATCTTACTTATCTGTTCATCTTTGCATATACTCTTCAATTTCTTAGCATGTCGACTGTACATTATCACTATCATTTCACAGTAAGTACAAGTTAATCAATTCTGAACTATCAGAAGTTGATTTGATATTTCATTCATACAAGCACTTCCATAAAAGAACTTTTTACCAACAAAACTCTATTAACAAACTTCGTCGTAGCCAATCGTTTGTGCATAACTATCGAATTTTGAATTTATATTGTGGCAGAATTTCAATGATAGTACAAGAGTATGAAAATTTTCTTGCATTGAAATATATACATATTAAAGAAAGTTTTCCTATTCAATGAGGACGAGTGTATCTTGATGAAGGAACTATTTTGTGATTATGATTTAAGTAAACAAATCAAGTTTCGAAATGATAAATGTTAATCGCTGGTAGAAAATTATATCGACAACTTTTCTTCTGTCGATTTGATTTGCACTTTGATGATATAGACGATAAAAATATGGATTTAACCCAATTAACTTCAGCGATCATCTCTAGGGAAACAAGATGCATATTGCATGAAAAATAAGAGAGATCTTCAATGGTCAAAAACTATATATTCTTCTATTTGATGACATTCAAGTTTTAAAATTGTTACATGAAACGATACACTTTCTCAATTTCGTTTTTTGTTGTGTACACTTCCTCGTCGATAAGATTGCTATTAGTTTATCGTCATGTGAGCATTTTTTACTATGATAAAGTTGTCATTCTACTTCCATCAACTATCTCGCCAAGAAAAATGCGTTTCGATAGTAAACGATGTTGTATCATCATCAACAATGAATCAATGAAAAGAAGAATCGATATAAACACGAGCGGTTTAGTGGAAGTTCAACAAGTGAAATTTTGACATTGTAGTTGATACAGTGCTGTTTATAGAAGTGTTCACAGAATGCATAAAGGCAAACTTGAAATAGTTGATCTTGAAAAGGTCAATCTGGACTACTCGATGCTGCCACATCTCATCTTTCCATCAAACTATGATTTCATCTTGCTTGAATTACGTTTGATACTATAGTTTTAGTTGACGCACCACTAGATATTTTATTATTCATGTCGTAAATACATATGATAACTAACAGTGAATGTACAATTTCAAAGGGAAAACACAGATAGATATCATGGTTAAAGAAAATTTACCATAGATACGTGTTGTCACTGTCACCTAAGATATCTCATGAATTTACAATCAATATTGACTGTCTGATTTTGATTGAAATATTCGAATACACCTATTCATAGATCAAAATTTGTCATTCAAATTCTGATAAAAACTCTCCTTGGATGACATTTTCGACAAACAATAAATATTACACGCATTCACAAAAGTCGAATGCAAAAGACATAAAGTTTTCTTACAATTAGAACGCTTTACTGACGACGCATTCTATTGAGTAAGATCACGTTTCATAAAATTTCCCAGTCATATTTACTCATTCTCGCAATCTATACCTATGTATGTCTATCGTTACTACTTGTTGATAGAGACATACATAGCGACTTTCAGTCGTCCCCTATATTATCGTTTTACTATAGGTTCATTCCTTCCTTCCACATTTTATTCCGGCCGCTTGTTTAAATGTCCATAGTGTTAACGTACGTGTTTTAATACTGTCTTTGTTTTTCTTCTCTCTCACTGCTGTGATCATTTGGGTATTTTAGTATTCATACTCACTCATCTCTGAAAAAAAGACATTAAAATACCAGGATGACTTACGATTCAAATGGAACTACAGTTCTAGATGAAATAGAGTATGTCAGAAATAACTAAATTATGTTCTTTCGCATAAAATCTTTTTTTTAAAACTTGTTTAGCCGTTTATTTGTTGTTTGTGAAAAAGCAAAGGAATATGTGAATAAAATATCGGTGGGTATTGACCAACAAATTGATTTATGGCAGTATCGTCGACAGATTATTACTGATCAAATGCATTCACCATCATCACTGGATTTTCTTCTGCCAAAAACGCAACGTATCAACGAACTAGCAATCGAAGCCGTTCAAGGTTGGATTAAAAAAAGAAAAAGATAAATGAAATTGTTTTTTTTATTTGCTTTCGTTTTAGCATTATGCCGGGTTGATCTACTAGTTGAACAAATTCTTCGTATTGACCCAAAATCAGCCTTACAAACACGACCTATTCCAACATCACAATCTTTTTCAGCACGATCAATTGATACAAACGTTTCACATTCAACAATAAATTCAATCGGCACTCGTCTGCGTCATCCTGCACCTACACCAGTATTGAATTCTGTTAAACAACAATCATACGTTGAACCGATGATCAACGGAAGACCAATTACACAATCAATTCATCCTATACCTGTGCTACGAACACCACAGCAAACATCAACAACGCGATTGCCATCAACGAATACGCAGGACAGAACAAGCTTCAAACCAATTGAACAACAGTATCCGCAGCGGCAACAACAACAACAACAACAGCAATCAACTATTATTAATGAACGCACGCCACGACCAACACCAATGCATGTACAAGCAAATCATTATACTGCAAATGATAGTCATGCATCTGTAAGTGTCAACATAAAGAGAGTATTTACTTTATAGAAAGCTCATTCTTTTGAGTTAAGGATATAGTGAATTATTGGAGAGAGATAGCTTTTAGAATAAATATTATGTAAATTGATAAGAGTTCTGTTCAATATTTTTTGTCTAGGCTCGACCAATACCAACACCATACGAAACGCGCACACCACCATCTGAAAGTATTGCTTCTCCAAAGCCACCTCCTTCAAACAGCCAAGTTGCATCAGGTTATCGTCGCGCACCACCAAGTAAGTAAAGTTTGCTTCGAAATTCTTTTTAAACTAGTTCATTTTTTTCTGTCACGTCGTTAAGGTGATAAAGTCAAAGTGAAGTTACAACGAATTCAGCCTGGTACAGTGTGGAAACAAGCAAAGATTGATGTTATCGATTCGCTTTCTGCATTTTATGTCGAAAACCATGATCCAAGAGTGCGTGGAGTGTTCAATGATATGTTAGAGAATCTTCAGTAAGTTCAGAAGGAAACCTAGTACAAATTGTTGCATATTTGGTTTATTTCCAGTGAATACTACGACACATTAGAGCAATCAAATAGTTTAACTCCATTAGTAAACGTTTCAATTGGCGATTTTGGTGTGGCGAAGTATAGTGAAGATAACCGTTGGTATCGAGCACGTCTATTGATGTGTGAAGAGAATGACCAAATACGCATTGTTTTCATTGATTTTGGCAATATCGAGACAAAAGATATCCAGGAGTTTTATCCACTTGATAAATTATTCACAGAACTACCTGCTCAAGCTATCGCATGTACTCTATCACGAGTAGGAAACCTTTCCAGATTTGTTTTGTAGGGAGAAATACAATTAATATTTGTTTTCTAGGCGTTTCCTCGTTCACCGACCGAATTCGAAAACATATGGTCTCAAGATATCATCAAGATATTTCGAGAAGAAGTTACAGATCGATTTGTTGAAGTGATTTTTGTTCCTACAGAAGACGGAACACAGGACTGGTATATCAGATAGTTCAGAGACATATCTTTATCATTCTATTCATTTATCTCTCGTAGGCCTTTGCATTTTGTGACAATTAATGTTGGTAATCAAGTGAGTAGAATATTCTACTTAAGCTCACTTAATCTATTGTGTATGTTTACATTTAGTCTGTGACAAATATGTTAAATTTGAAACAGTATATTGAACCAAAATCAAATCGTCATATTGCTGAACAATTGGCAGAGTCTATTTCACATCAAGAATATATTCTTTTCAATGTCCCTATAAATGAAGAAGAATTCGAATAATATATCTAGAAAACAAACTACGGTGGATTATTTCCCAGTTTGTCTGTTTAGTAACGACAAACTTTTTGTTTTCTTTTTCTTTCGTTTTTCTTCGTGCACTCCACATAGCTATGTGTTTAGTTTTATATAATATATGTTTGTGTTGCTGTTGTTGTTGTAGTATTTGATGTGCCTACTGTTACTGTACGAATGATTGATGTCTTTGTCTATATGAAGATCTTTAACATGATAAATATGATACGGTGAACAAGAAGAGATAGGTTCATTTCTATATAAGTATATATTTCAGATCATTGAGTTTCTTATTAGTGCTACGTCATCATATTTTGCCAGTGTTTTTTGATAAATACATGTTTGTATTCTATTTCTCGTATTTGTCAAAAGAATATCAAGCGAAAATTATGGTAAATGTATTATGAATGAGAAATTTTCATGTGTTGATAATGAATGAAATAAAAGGAAACGTTGTATTGATTTGTATATGTGAAAGTCACACCAGTAGAGCCTTGAAAATTTTCAAATATTATCAAATCATTTGCTTGCAGTTCCAAGACAAATTTTCTTAACAGTAATGAACGCCTTTCTCCAAGTGAACGATTAAAAGGCGCTACGGCTTGAAACTATCGTTTGCTCCTACTTAATCACATCATCGCATCTTTTTCTAGACGTAAATCATTCAGTGTATTGGACTTGATCAGTTACCAAATACTTTAGTTTGACATTTAAGCAACCTTTGCATGTGGTTTGAGGTGCGTTGCTATTAGACAAACGAAACTGCTTTTACTAACGTCGACTAACAATTTATTCGTGTTAAACTCACAAACAAAGCCTACCTTTTTCTGACTACTGCATGATTATGTGTGTTTGTTTTGATACTTACGACAGTTATTTTCAATTTGACGTATTGAATGCTTGTCATAAAAAATAAGTATGGGTATTTTGATCATAAGGAAGATAATACTTCAAATGATGTCGACAGAACCGCATATTGACGCATAATTACTCAAAACTAACCTCTTCTCATGAGATCAAATTTTATCCATATCTAATTCATTGATCATGAACTATCAAATAAATTGACTACGGTATAGTAGATTACTAAGACTCGATTTATTACAGTATTTCTTCCAATTTTTGCAATAAATACGCGTAGAACAATAGGATTGTAAATTTGTAGAAATATTCTTTCATAATCGAATGTCAATATCTTTTTCAGATATGATTTCTTCCAATGAAACGACTTCGGCAGAAGTACTCGACGATGTTGATCATCTTCTCTTCTTATGTGATCGTTTAGGCAAGCGTTTGCACCAGGTCACATCGTATGTTGATGATCTCAAACAAACATGGATCAATAAGCGAAAATCAATCGAATGTGATGCCAACATAGCATCAGCAGAGGCATTGAAAGCCTCAAAATGTCATAAGATCTTATTGCATGTTGCTGAGAAACTTGCTGTCGTCGAACTGCAAACAGAATCATTGAACGCTTTACAGTCACCGTTCTCGCCCGTGCTACCTGGTTCAACTGAGAAACGCGAAGGTGTGTTAAAACGATCAGTCAGTTGTAAATATATCTGTCATTGAATTGTTTTCGTATTCAGAACATACGTCGACGAATCAACGTACTAATCCTGTCTTTCCAAGTCCATCGCAGATCGCTAAAAATTCAACCGTCAATGCATTCACTCCGAGAACGTCAGCACCATTATTTAGTGAAAACGTTCCAGCAAAACAACCTTTAGGACAGCATCAAGTACAGCCAGAATTAGCTCCTCATCGACCATTGATGGGTTCCGATACGAGTGGTTATGTTCAACAGAAGTTCTCCTCGCAAATATCTACTTTTCCGACAGCACAAAAACCAGTACAGAATGGTCTCGTAAATGGCTATCCAAAGCAATCATCCAATGTGATCATTCCGCGTCCTTCGACTTTGACAGATTCTTATTCATGTATGTCTCGTGGTAGATCGCAACGATGATCGCTATTATCCACATACTTCATCTCTCATTTCAGCTAGATCAATGATTGGTTCGACTGGAGTTCATGAAAAGGTTCGAGTTAAAATGCAAGTTATCAAGGCAGGCACTATTTGGCGTAATGCAGATATACCAATTATCGATCATCCATCGGCATTTTTTGTCTGCAATCAAGATCCACGTGTTGCTGAACAATTTCATATGATGGCAGTAGAAATGAAGTACATAAGAATACATTGAAACGGTTCGTACTAGCATACCGGTTTCTTGTCGTTGCTTTTTTTCAGTGCTCATTACAATAAGCCAGCAAATACAGCTTTACCATTACAAAATCCAGCAATTGGCGACTTTTGTGTTGCTCGTTTTAGTGAAGATCAACATTGGTATCGAGCACGAGTCGTTCTTATACATAGTAGTATGTATTCTCTTCTATTCATTGCTTTTCTCTCCTAAAGGTTACGCTAGGCATTCCGAAGCTTAGCTAGTCAAGCATGAAAATAATCGGATGTGTATATTTTCTTTCAGACGAATCAATTCTTATTGTTTTTATTGATTATGGAAATTCAGAAACGAAACCTGCAAATGAAATTTATCCAATGCAAGAAACAATATCTCACCTACCAGCTATGACTGTTGCTTGTACGTTAGCTGAGGTGAGACTTTCTTCGAATAAACTGTTTGTCATGAATCATATTTTGAATCTTCAGTCGTTTCCTCGAAATGAAAACTTTTGGACAGCAGAAGCAACTGAAATATTTAACCAATTGGTCAAAAACCGTATTGTTGAAGTACAATTTCAACAGGGCAGTGATCAGCAATGGTAATAAAAGAGAGCCTCATATATTTTAAAACTATTTTAACCATCTGTTCATAGGCCACTTCACTTCGTCAAAGTAATGCTTGATGGGCAGGTGAATATTTTGAAAGTGTTCATTGCTCCTTTACTCCATATTTTTTATTGTAGTCAGTAGTTCAACACTCAAGATTAGCACCCTATGTAACAACAGTTCGCAATGAACAAATTGCCATGCATTTCAATGATAAACTTACATCAATGGAATATATATTGTATAATGTAGCTGTTGTTGAATCGGATATTTATAACGGTAGTGAGTAAACAATTGACCTTCCAATGTTGTCTCGTATTCAACTGACGTCTTATTCTTTTAGCACTTCCATAATGTATGTTGGAGACGGTATTTAGTTTGTTTACAACAACATATTTAGATATTTGTTTTTTTTTTCATTTTTCTGGAGATTGTATTCTATAAAAATTCTATGCTATTTAGATACTGATTTGATGATATGCAATGATAAAAGCCTCGATAGCATGTATTAGTGAATTCTCTCTCGTCTCTATGTGAGTTATCTTTTTTTGAGATAATTTTGCTTTTCCATGTATGTGTATGTGCGCGTGTATGAAAACGAAACATTCATTTTTCATTTTTCTTTCTCTTTATGTTTTTGAAAAGTCAAACTTTTTTGTTTCATGAAAAAAAGAAATAAAATAGAATAGTTATTATTGTGAAGTATAATGACACGTTTCGACGTTATCTTCGATTATCATATCATCAAATGAATAAAACGAATTGGTCGATCGTTTAGAAGATCTAGGTAGAAATCATGCCTGCTGTTTGACCATTAACACCATCTATATATTGAAAAACGATTCTTGCCTGGAAACAACGAAAAAATAACTGCTCAGCTTTTATCAGTATTATTAATCATTGATCTCAAAGTTTGCTTTTTAACACTAATCTCTAGGGTTCTTTTTTAGAGTAGTTCCTGATCAGTAATTTTATTGGTGCTTTTCTTAAACAATGCGTTCTTTCTTTTTTGCTGCGCTTTGAAAAACTGAAATATTTTGTAAATTTTCGAAAAATTTCCCTTTACTATTTTTTCTCAATGATACATGATCGATGAATGCTGGACATGCGAAAAACTGTTACTACACTCGACTGTTCTTTTTCAGTATGATTTTATCTCGCACATGAATACTCCCAAAAAGCAATCATTGAATGTAGATCAACTTTCCACGAGATGGTATACCTACTCTAGGTTCGTGGATTAGCAAAATAGGTATAGTACATGCTACTAGATTATGTTTTCTTTACGCTCTTTTATGAATGTTTCAACTTTTTCATTTTTTTCAATAAAGGCAATCCAACTGCTATGATAGCTCAATGGTATTCCCATGCAATACACGTGGAAACGACAGAACTCAATATAATCAATAAATCTCAACTGAAAGGTATATGTAGCTACATGCGCTTACACTTGCAGCTTCCCCGATAGTTATTCGTTAGTATATGTATAAATAGCATCATTCTTAGGCGTAGATGGTAGTTGTCGTTCTAAATCGCTGCACTTTCTCTTTGTATTAATTTCTCTAGATATAGTCTAGATGTCTTGAGTTCAAGGAAAAATCATGCGCGAGTAACAGTCTTAGTAAATATTTCCAACATTTCGTGTAACAGCAAGTGAAAAGTTGAAACCAATTTTTGTATAGATGATGGATCATATGAAATATGGCAAGCGACAAGATTTTAGGCATGTTTTTATGGTGCGTCGCTAGTGTGCTATGTGCACTAACATTAGTGTATTACAAGGAAAATTGCTTTGCTTGGAACAAGGTAGACAAACACGCACACACAGATGATGTTGGACATTCTTGACAGCCCGATCGCTATACTTGGTATAATAATGTTGCATAATTTATGGAACCATGTGGCTTTAACGATCATTTATATAAAACATGTATGCTTTATTCAATAAACATCGCAAAAATGTCTTGCTTTTCTCGAACTAGATGTGAGCGTATAAGGTTTCTGTCAAACGCACTTTGAGTTTTTCAAAAGACAGCAAGTATATAAGAGAAGAACACGCATTTTCGTGAACAAATTTACTGCAAACGTTAGAATTTCAAGATGTTCATAGATTTTGAAAAGTTGAAAATAACTTGTGAAGCGGTACTTTTAGTTTTACCCTTGACGAAGATGAAGTGACGAACTTACATTGAAAGAAATAAGAAAAAAAACTAAGTAAATAATAATAATAATCGACCTTATAGAGTATGAAGGTAAACTATTTGGTCTTCTTTGCTAAGGAGAAAATATTTTTCGTTTGATTTGATTATTTGAGAATAAATAAGTTTGTATATGCTGTATTTGGTCAACAGGCTGCCACTATCTGATCAGTATGAATATTTTCGCATACAGTCAGGTTCGTCACCTTGGATCGTGTGAAAGCTTAATACTAAATAATCAGTTGGCGCATATAAAATTACTCAGATAAGTGGAAGAGAAAGAGAAGACTGTAGCTTTGAGTACGTATTAATATTGCAGTCATTCAATAAACATATGTAAAATTTGAAGAAAATATTTTGTTCTCCTTGAATAGATACGATACATTGAGTAGTTGTGATTCATTTATTGAATTAGACTTTCAATTTTAGTGTTTAGTTGATGTGAAGAATCAACGAAAGTCGAAGATCAATACGAAAACGTTTGCGTCTTTCATATTGATTGTTCATTATTGGTCTTTATTCAATTATTTGTTCGAACGAGGATGATTAGAAAATGCATAACCGTTAATAATCTATCAAATGGGTGAAGAAAATTTAATTCTTTGAACGACTGCATTTTACAAACTGGTAGACAATGTAAGTCATATAATCTCTAGCTAAAATCGCCTGTATCTCGTACTATTCTGTTTTTCTGAACTTTTTATCATCTTTGCGGATAAAATCAAAGTGATCTCTTTTATTAACTGAGTAAACTAATTAATTATCATCGTGCGTTGTTTTTATTTGCGTGATAGAGTAGGTGACAAAAAAGTACAGACATAAAATGGATTCTATGACTGTGCGCAGTAGCTTTTATATAAATAGATGAAAAAATAATCAGCACTGAGTAAATGCGAACACAATCAAGTAGAAATTAATCACAGTATGGTCCAGGTAGTCATTATACTGCTTATGATCCTTTGATAAATCGATGCAGATGTCAAGAGATCTTCTTAATTACCATGAATAGTTGCTTATTGAATAAATTTTGAAGATATGAGACATTTAACACTTCCATGTTTCTTCTATAATTGAAAACATTGTTTTAATTTGTTGTATTCACGAATATCTCGTCCGAAAGAAAGCTTTAATGGAAGTACACAGTTATTTTTACATTATAACATGTTTAACGCTTCATCCACAATATTTTTCTTAGTAAGAATAACAGAACAGAAACATGTCATGAGTAGCAGTGGTCTAGAATTTTGAATAAATATAAGCTTTGCCGTGGTAAATATTCTCTGAAAAACTTCATTCCATCCGTTCTCCTTCACATAATTGTTGCACATTCAAAATAATTATACGTTGTTGAATTGCTACTCTTCTAGTTTAGATTTCTCTACTATTTCACATCAACTGCCAATGAATGTTATCTAACGCTTGATTCATGTTGTTGATTCTACTTGACTTTCGACATCACATAGTATCAATTCAATGGTATGCTATATAGTTTTGGCGAACAGTGTATATCAAAACATTGTAATTTTTAGATATTATTCATTCGTCGATCTAATAGTCATACGTCAATTGATTTTGTATCTTGTCGTCAGTATCTGAGTTGCACTTAGTTTTAGATTGTTCAATGAATATCGATTTTTTATTAAAATAATATGAAACTCCAAGTCCGGACAATTTCAGATTGATTTGTTTTTATCATGAATGGCCCGATCGAGAATAAGTTTCGTTTGGAAACTCCAAATCAACATACGCAATTAAAGCCGCCGTCGTCGTTGACTGAGTTTGCCGACAGTGGTGTGATCAGTCGTAACACACCAATATCGTCGATTGACGAAAAAAACTCAAATCACAGTCATGACAATAGCGATGATCAATCGATCACTACCGAAGTCCAATATTTGTCAAACATTCGCAAACGTATGGTATTACTTCTTCGAACCCGAAAATGCTTCCCTGTATTTCATCTTAGCGAAACTTCAATATAAGAAATGGGCTGAAAATATGCAATATTCTAACTGCTTAGTGACCTATCTTGATCATCCATCAGCGATTTTCATACAATTAATTCAGGACGCGGAAAGATTTCAACTAATGCATCAAGATATGAAGTGAACATTTTCTTTTCATTTCTATTTGACATTCATCTTTTTTCCTTTTCATTATAGTCGTCATTACATGGATAATTTGAATATGTTCTCAAATATCTCCATTCATGCTTTCAACATTGGTGATTTTTGTGTAGCATATTCAACTCGATATTTCGAATTTTTTCGCGCACGAATTTTGAATATTGATCAAACGAGTACGATATTAGTCATGACCTCACTTGATTCAACAACAAAAACATGTGAACTTTACTTCTAGAGAAACAATATTTGATAATCTATGTCGATTTTGGTAATTCCGAGTGGGTGCATTCCAAAGGTATTCGTCCTCTTCATCCTCAATTTGCCGAATTAGAAGTTCAAGGGACTCCTGTAACTCTTTCTCATGTATGATTATTATTTATATTCGACGGCAAATGTTTTACTATATAATGTTTGGTTTCGTACAGACTCTTCCAAAGAAAGATCTGAAAACCGGGACAATTGAATGGGATACAAGTGCTGGTAGACAATGCACAAGAAAATTACGGCGATTACTGATTAAGCCTCACGGCGAGCCGTTCTTATTCGTAATTGTTAGATTTTTATCAAATGAACGTTGGTGGCCATTACCTTTTGTTGACATTAAAGTCGACGGTCAGGTATGTGTCAAATAGCGACCTCTCTTCAAAACATCTCAGAAAACGAAAATCTGAAATCGTTTTCATGACTTCATCCAATAGAATTGATTCGAGTACAATCAATTCCGTCGTGGTTGATTACTAATTTCATTCTCATATGTGTATAGGATCTAGCTGAAATATTACATCGTGATGGTTTGGCACGTTTAACACGTAATAATAAAGATTTGAGGATGATCTATCCGAATTTTGGTAACTACCAGAATGAACATTTGATCTTTGGTTCACTATCCTCGGAACGATTGGAAAGTATGCGATAATCATCTCGAATATCGATCTATTCAGTTTATTCTCTCTCTTCCTGATTGCATCATCACAGATCGTTATCGATGAACTCACTCTAATAGTCTTCCACACATCAAATGTTGTAAGTTCATCTCTATTTGTCAAACAATTCGAATATTTGTTATTCTTTCAGTCTGACACATGATCAATTTCATAGAAAAAGCAGTTACTATCTAGTGTTTTTCTTTCTTGTTTGCTTTCTTTTTCCCTTATAATCATTCAGTGTCAGATCGATGATAATGCAGTGATATTGATGTATTCTCTTTTTTTTTGTGTTCGTTTTTCTTTCATCTGCGAGTTACGATAACTAAGAGTGTAATAGCTGTATGTATATGTATATGCTCATTACGTTGATCTAAGTACAAAACAGTACTGATATGCTATATATAAAACAAGATGAACAAAGTCAGTTATGTTTCAGATTTTATTTTGTTGATGCATAACAACTTTATTAACTGTATTCGTCGATCGTGAATGAAATCAACTTCCGGTTGAACATCGTGGCTGACTGCGCAAATTAAATGTAAGTAAATCGGTAATATTAATAGACTAAGTTATGATGATCTAGATGTTTATCTAGCTTCAAATTGTTTTCACTGCCTATTTAATTGTATAGCCAAAGGTTTGTTAGTGTGCGTAATGGATTCTCTAAAAGAGTTAAAACATTGGGGATAGTAGAAAAGAATGTCAGCTTGACTATTATAAAAAAGAATTGTCAGTAATGACCGAGTTTTAGATCGAGGAAAGTAACCTTGAGGACACGAAGATGGTGATCGAAGTTCATCGATGAATTTTGCTAAGTAAGAAAGAGAAAAAGCAAATAGTAAATCATTGCGTCATTTGACTGCTATAGTCTTTGTGTTTGTGTTGTGAGTTGTAGACTAATACTCAAATCATATGCTTCAATGCTCGTTTGATATATCGAACAAGCATACCGAACGGTAAACGACAGTAGAAATCGCATAGACGTCTGATTAATCGATACACTAATTAATCGATTACATTATTGAGGTTTTGTCGATAATTTGTCTTTGAATTAAGGTAAAAGACAAATTGTAATGAAGCATTTGAAATATTATGTAGTATCAATCGATCTATACATTTCCTTAACATTTCTTTTGAGCCATAGAATTTGTTTTCTAATCTACATAGTTGTTATTTCCGATTGACTATGTATAAATGCGTCTCAGGCATGACCTATGTCTGATTCTTCAAGCATCTTATCTATTAATCTTCATAGCGCGAAAATGTTTTCGATACACTCGAAGTGGATTGTTGAAAGCTAGTGTCTCTATTTTCACCACTTCACAAGTAAGTGTATACCTTTGTGTCCTCCAAACTGGACGCATAAAAGCACATAAACACTCATATACGTCCTTACGTAGGACAGAATAGATTTCAGTTAATTTGACCATTCGTCCTTTTCTCTTTATTACGATGAAAACATTTCAGGTAAATACTCTCTATCGATCAACTCCTTTTGAATAGGAAAAAGCTGAGTTCTGAGACGTCTAAGTATAGGGTTTTTGTTTTGTTCGTTCCCTTATATCAATTCTCAATGGAGTCTTTGTAATTACCTGGAAGCTTCGAGCGAACTGAACAATGAACAAGTTTTGTACCATATTCAATTATTTGCACGAATAAATCGATTATATCATAAATTGCAATTCAGATAGAATCTTAAAAGAATGACGAAATAAAATTACAAATCTGTATTTTCAATCAAGCTTCATCATTTTCGATATTGATTGATCCGTAGAAGAGAAAGAAAGAGAGAGAGAAGAAGAGAATAATATGTAATTGCTACTTGTTACTTCAAATAGTTGAAGTACACTTGAGTATTTTAAGTTTTTTTCTCGTTCGGGCATATAGAAATCGAGAATAACCGCTTGTCAAAATGCAAGGATGATTTTGCAATTTATCATAAACATCAAATTATAGCAAACCTAAAGTATAGTATTGAATTTCGATATTTCTTCTTCTTTCCTCATTGATCATTTTTAAGCGTGATACGAATCAGTGTGAAGCATTAGGTAAATTTAAAAATTCTCATATAGAAATTAGACTATGAACAAGTGATAGGTTGAGTGACAACTCATTCGAACCTTTGTTATTATAAATACATATGTGTGAAGAAAATTTATCGATTGATTAAATTGTTTGTTTGGATACAATTTCAATCTCGATGTATGTACAATCGAGTCCAAATTCTCGAGTCACTCAACGACAAGAGCAAGGAATGAAAAACGTTATTTTTCTTTTCTTCATCTCAAAAAGATTCAATCAGGAGAGAAATATTTAATAATAGACAAAAGATGTGTCACACATGGGGATACTATGCTCTTCCCTCTCTTTTTTTTTGTTAACACGGCCTCGACATGTCATTGAGATTGATGTGTGACCGATAGAGTAAGAAAAAAAAAGAAGGAAGAAGCTATTGTTCTCGCATCCATCATAGTCTTAAATTGATTCTTTCCCACCGTGTAGAGGTTAATCGTCTATCATCATTTTGTACTGGGAAAAGAAGAGAAAGTGTGCAGTCATCGGTCACTCAACGTGCATGTATGATTGTAGAAGAAAGAAAGCTTCGAACATAGTTGTGAGTTCTAATTTGATATATCCGGAGAAAGAAAAAAGCGAAGGAGGGAAGAAAAAGAAGAAGAACAACGAAAGAAAGTCATAATGATGATGCAATTGCCATGCGTGTACATTGTAAATGAGAAGGGCCGAGTGTAGTAGTAGTAGTAGTCGGTCAAGTTGTTGGCCTTCATCGATTTTTCGCACAGTTGTTGTTTGCTTTTCGTTATAGACATATATCACCATGGTAAGCCTATTATATTTGATGTTCTTGTTCATACTATCTCTCGTATATCTAGGTCGCTTAATTGTACATATATAGAAGCAATAATAATAGCAAGAACTACGACAATAAAAACAACAATATAACTGCTCTCTTTCTTGCTCTAGATGGACTTAATATCTGAACGAACGGATGTATGAATGACGATAAGTTATCCATGATTGTTTTCTTGGTTATTTTCTTTTATTCAACTCAATTTACAAATGGAATCGACGAGCCAGTGTTATCAACAACAACAACGATTCCTCCGACAGCAGGAGCACTGTTTCTTAATTCGCTACCGATTGACAAACTTTTAAATCAACAATATGATAATCGTCAAATGACATCAACCCGAACGAATCCAATTCGTCCATGGAGAAAGTCAAATTCGATTGAAATCTTAAAGAAAATGATCGCCAATCGACAACGTTTAGCAAATATTACCCGAACATCGACAACCACGACTAGTAGTACAACAAGTATGTTACAATTTCTGTTCACATGTCAATCTCTCAAAATACAAAAGTTAAGCATCTATTTAATCTAATCCCTCTCTAAACACAAACATCAAGTCTCTATTTAGACAATAGAATCTTTCACATTCAATAGACTAGTTTCTTTGTGACAAGTAACATAGAGAAGACAAGAAAGCTTTTCGAATTTTATATATGTCAAGAGATATTAAGCTCAGCAACATTCGATGAATCTTAAACGGAAAACAAAGACAGTGTTGCGTTTATGTAGAAGATGTTAGTCAATTTTTACATGTATTCCATTTGTTATGTTGACAGATACTATCATCAAATGTCAATCATCTGCACAGAAATATTCTAACTTGTGATCAATTTTCATGCGATAATCTACTATATTACACGAAGAGCCTCGAATATTGTAGAAAAACATGCTTATTTTGATTGCACTTCTCGTCATAGACAACGTGCAATGTCTAATGATAATGATCTCGAGTTCTTTGTCTGCTTCTTAATGTTTGATAATATCACAATGATCAATTCGACATTTGTACAGATTGCTTAAGATAAACGGCTTCTTCTCTGATGTTTAATTCATTATTTATTCTGAGGCTTGAAAGGTTAAATACATCAATAACATCTTCTGCATACTTAAATTTGTTTATTGACCTGCAGCATAACTTATAATTCAATGAAATATCTTTTTAGCTGTGATGAATACGGAGCCGATTACGATAAACACAACCACTGCCACATCGATTCTCATGTCGACAACAATGATGACGATCACAGAAGCAATACCAACAACATTTTCATTGTCTAATTCCACGATTGTTGGTCGATTAAAGTCTAAAATGAATCCGACAGAATCGTCTATCACACATTCAATTACAGAAGAAGAAACGACTGCTATGATCGAGTTGAATCCGCCGACGACAACATCACAATTAGATTTCTTATTATATTCGACGTCAACATTGAAAATGAACACGTCATCCAACGCAACATTACTTGCTGTCATTCTCGTTTGTAGTTTTACTGGTTTACTTTTCGTCACATTACTTCTCACATTCCTACTCAGGTAGTGAAAATCAATCGGAAAAAAAGCCACCAATTTCTTTGTGTTGTTTTAGACGACGTATAAGTATTGCCTATTTCAAATTACCTTGTATACATTCGTCATCGGCCACCAAAGATTCACGTGACAGTACACCATTATCCCACTCACCGATTCATGGTAAGCAAAACGAAGGATTACCTTTTGTCTGTAACGGATTAAGACGATGACGCGTGAAAGTTTCTGTTTAATTCGAAGAAAAACAAACGTAGATAGGCAGCTAGATGAGACCTAGGAGAAACTAAGATATCAAATGGGTAATCAACGATCAACTTTAGCTGATTCATTTCATTCAGCTAACATGTCATCTCATGGTTCGAATCGAACTCGACGACAAAGATTATATTCCATTTCGACACGGAGACATCATTCATTGTCGAATATGAAACATCAACAACATTTTCGTGATAACCTATCAACAACATCAACTAATCTCTCTACAGTTTCACTCTCGACTAATAATTGTCATAGTAGGTTATTTCTATTCAAGTAGTTGTATTGTATTTCTCTAGTTAATATCTTTTCCTGACAAAATGCATGTTCAATAATAGTTTTCTTTGAACTTACTAATTCGAATGAGAAAAACCTTCGTGATTCCTGTTTTGTTTTCTTTTCTAGGCAAATTTATCGTCCCCGATGAATTTCCAGTGGAACAGTTGTATGATATCTATATGCAGCGACATGCCTTGGATGATTTAGCGTTTGCTATTGAATTTAAAGTCAGTTGAATACGGTCGTCCGATGATGTTAACAAAAGACCAATTTTATCTTCTAGAGTATTCCAAATTTCGAAGAATTGCCATGTACGGCTGCAACTCGAACAATCGTAGCATCGAAAAATCGTTTCCTCAACATCTTACCCATTGATACCACACGAGTCATTCTCAAACTATTGAATGACGATCCAGCTACTGATTACATCAATGGAAATTATATTTCAGTATGTGAATTGATTTCGGTTGAATCAATTGTACAAATAAAATATCATCTTACTATTTGTAGGGTTATAACTGTCCGAATAAGTTCATTGCGACTCAAGGTAAATTGAAATTGTATGAGAACTAGAAGAAAAGAATAAGTATTTAAGGTCCAAAATCGGATACATGCGAAGATCTGTGGCGCATGATGTGGGAATTGAAATTAAAATCGATTGTTATGTTAACAAATGTCATCGAAGGAGCATCACGAATGGTAAATCTACTAGAACTGATCAAACAATAAGCATAAACTTGATTTGACCTCTGTTTAGACTAAGTGCCATCAATACTGGCCAGAACTTGGTCAAACAGTAACGTATGGTTCATATCGTATTACATGTTTTGATGTCATATCAGTCGGTGATTATGACAAACGTTATTTGCAACTAATGAAAGTAAATTTAATCTCGATAAAAATCGAACTTTAGCTTTACATTTTTCTTTGCTTTTTTTTGTCAAGGTAAATAGCAGTGATGAATCAGCCATGAATGCATCGTCAATTGCTCCGATTGATGATGCTGCATCTGTATCGACATTAAACTCGACTAATGATGAACAACAATCGCGTCTAATCATTCAATATCACTTTACACAATGGAAAGATATGGATGTACCAAGTGATTCACATTCATTGCTTCATCTAATACATGAAGTCAATGAGCAAACACCTCCTGAACAATATCCGATTGTCGTTCATTGCACGTAAGAGAATCTTCAACATAGTGAACCTTACAAAGGACAACTGAGGATTACAAATAAATGAATTTGTTTTCTGTGTAGTGCTGGTGTTGGCCGAACAGGCACTTATATTGCCATTGATGCCATGATTGACAAAATTGCACAAGAAGGAAAAATTGACATCTATGATTTTGTATTACAAATGCGCCGTGAACGTAGCTTAATGGTTCAAACAGTGGTATGTATCTCCTCGATACATTGACAACTAGATGAATATCTTGTTTTATATAGAGACAATACGTGTTTATATATCGATCGTTACTCGAATACTATTTATATGGAAGTACAAGAATAGAAGCGAATTTGTTCCGCTCAACATATTCCAATTTGAAAAAGAATAAGCAAAATCTACTCATTGCTGAATATAAAGTAAGTAGTGCATAAATGTTCTCGCACAAGCCAATTGTTTTCCCTGCTTTCCTTTTAGAAATTATCTTTGTTACCAGTGGAAAATATCTCCCAACGTGACGCACATTCCTCCGACAATATCGACAAAAACCGACATCCTCAAATAGTACCTTGTAAGTTAGCCCGTCTGATTCTTTCGATCATAAAAACCGATTTCGTTTATAGACGATCGCAATCGTGTATGTTTGAGTCGAATACTTGGACATCCGTATATCAATGCATCATTTGTTGAAGTAAATATTTTGCTGAAATGATCATCAAAACGGACGTCTTTTTGCATCGTTTAGGGTTATACCCATCAATGTTCATTTATTATCACACAAGATCCATTATTAGAAACTGTTCATGAGTTTTGGCGAATGTTTATTGAACATGATTCTAATTGTATTGTACAATTACATACAGTCAGTGAGGTAAGCCTATTTGTAATGTTTATTTTCTGCTGTTCGAAAACATTATATCGATTTGTTTTTTCTCATTTCCTTAGTCATCTCCGAAATGTCCGATTTATTACCCAAATGATTTTGATACAACAATGAAAATTGGCTCGACAACGCTCTTAAAATTAGTCCACAAAGAGTTCATTCAAGAAAAATTCATCATTAGAGAATTTTGTTTAACAGACACACGTGAAGCGATGTCAAAAAGCATCTTTCACTTCGAATATCTTCTTCCTATTAGTACCAATGATGAGCACGAGAATGCACAATGTATTCCAGCGATTCTATCCAATAGTTTATTCGACTTTATCGGTCACATCAATAAACGACGACACACAACGAATCATCATCGGTATATCACTGTTCATTGCGGGTATGTTTCTATTCAATCTATTTCGATAAAGATCCTTTTCTAACTCACATTATTCTCATTAGAAATGGTGGTCCGGCCTGTTCATTGTTTTGTATGTGTGTGATGTTATTGGATCAGCTGAAAAATGAACATGCGGTTGATATATTTCAACGAGTGCGTGCACTACAACGACAACGCGTATCAATGATAACATCGCTTGTATGTAGTAGAATTTGTGATATGTTGGATTGATTTCTTTTGCTTGTCTTTAGGCTCAATACGAATTTCTTTATGAGATGATTTCGAAATTCTTGGAAGAATCCTTTGATCTCGCTGCTGCTAAATCGTCTCCGTCATTAAACAACAGTGTGTACGATAACAATGTCATTGAAACAGAAGAAGCCACACAAGATCGTCTTTAAAATCTCATGTTTTTCTATGTTTCTTCTACGAGCCTATTTTCTAGTCTTTGTGAAATGTTTTGTTTTTCTCTTTCTGTTCACCAGATATTATTTCTTCTTCTCCTCTATTCACCTCGTTACCTTATAAATCTCCCATCTATTTGTATATTTGACTAATTGTTTTTCAAGAATTTATATCTCTACACATATAAAACCAAATCTTTATTCTTGTTTTTCTTCTTAAAAAGTCTCGCGTTCGGAAAAAAAAAGTAAGAAAAGAATAATATGCGAATGTTTAATAAAGAAATTCCAACAGATCTAGACTGTCTTTATTTGTTTTTCTTCCGGAGATTTCGGCTGAGCAGAAAGAAATCGTTCGAGTAAATCAAGCATGGCTCGCGGCTGATCATATGGTACCATATGACCAGCATTGCGTACAGTTGCGAGGAAAAATCGATTATTGTTCGCTGTTTTAATATAACCAGCTACCTCCGAATCACTGTCAGCAACTTTCCATACTTTTCGCGGTGCTTGATGAAGTTCATCCGCTCCAAACCAATTCAACTGGTTGACCCATTCCATTGTTAATGGTACAGCAATGATAATATCTAATTGTCCATTGTATATCATTACACTATAATTAGCACTTGCGATCGCTGCAACTTTCCATGCCATGCTTTGCATCTAGAACGAATCATGTGAGAAAAGTGATGTTGAAAGTACTTTTCGAAGACGTTACCACATCGTTCATGAGCATTTTTTCCACCGTATCACTCTGACTACCGTAGGAGAGATTACCGACATGAATTTGTTTTCGTCGTTCAGCATGTGTAATAAACGAAACAAAGTATCCTTGATCTTCGGGAGCATCAGTTAATAAATAGTTAAAATAGTTTTTAATGCCTGTGACATTATAGAAATAGGATGTCGTATTGAGAAGATCACCGTTAAGAAGTGCATCGAAAAGGTGGAATGCATCAATGTAACGTTGTTGTTCAATAGCATAACGCATTAATGCTGTTTGTAAATCAACATAAGCTTTTTGAGATTGATCGATCAGACCGATCTAGAAACGAACATTTAGACTTGCTCTTCGTTTTCGTGGTTTTTACCTGGTAGAGAAAATCTCCATACATATATTGATTGAGAGGATCTGTCAAACCATCACCAATAGTCATACCTTTTAAATTGATTTTCACTTTCACTTGTGGATTTTGATTTTCAACATGAATTTTGTAGGTTATCGAAGGTACATATTTACCAGCATAACTTTCTCCTGTAACATAGAATGGATTCGACGCATAATCCGTAAAGATTTGAAAGAATTGCGTCAATGCAGAATGGAGATCACGTGCTACATCTTCTTGTGATCGCGCATAACCTTCTTCATTATCTGTAAAACTGAAACCAGTTCCAACAGGATTATCGATAAAGATGAGATGATAGTTTTTATTCCATGTGATTTCGCGTAATTGAATGTATCCATTCGCGTCGATATAGATTGGTCCGATTTCTGTAAAAAGTGCAAAAAGTGATGAAGAACCGGGACCACCTTGTAACCAGAGCATCACCGGTGTGTCTGGTTTGTTTCCATTTTGAGCAGGAAAAAACCAAAAGAACATATTGGAATTATATGCTTTATTCACAGTTAGGTAACCAGAAAACGATTGTTGTTTCAGTGGTAAAAGGTTGACTAAACTGAAAAGAACGTGAAATTTCATGTAGAACATCGAAAGTGAATGGAATTAAAAAATGACAAACCTCAAATTTCTTGCTTCAGCAAGTTTTCCCTGTTCAATGTAAGGTGTGAGAAAAAGTGGTTCACCAGGATCTTCATTCACATCGAGAACTGTCGGTTTGCCCGTTGGGTATAATCGACGAAATGGACCTCGATATCCGTGAGCACCGCTTAGAGCAGTTAAATAAATAAAGATAGTTGCTAGTATATACATATCTTAAAGAATAATCTACAAATGAAATAAGAATGTTATACTTCCTTTTAGATACTACTAATGCGTATCCTTGTCTATTTATGCTATCGAGGATACAGTATAAAAGGAACATTTTCCGCACTGAACAAACCAGTATCTTCAACAAGTTTTCTTCAAGATACTCTTGAAAAAGCGATATTACGTTTCTGTCCTGCACGACGACCGAAAATTCTACTTTCAACATACACAGAATGTAATGTGCATTCATTATGTAATACCGCTGTAAGTTCTTTTAGGAAACATGCGTTGATGAAAAGAGACTTTTCCGATTTCTTAGACCGTTGATTTTGAATTACCGGGAAAACAAAAATTAGGCACTGATGATTTAGATATCCCATGGTTTAAATTCAATATCAATCGAATACTGATTGAAGGTAACCGAACTATGCGTGTAATCGATGCACGTTTTGTGCACGATGCTTTCGAACCGAAACTCGCAGCAACACAACGAACTTATTTATATCGATTTCTTGTAAGTCGTTGAAATTTTTCTAACCTTACTAGAACAATATATTCCAGACGGATTCATCGATGTCAGTTATTGAACAACCACTGAGCACTTCTCTATCATTGCCCGTTTCCCTACCTTTACTACGTTCGGCTATTTCACTGATTCATGATCGTTCGATTGATTATTCATCATTTACATTGCCCGAAGCTCGTAATCTATTGAAAGACGGTCGTCGTATCGTTGGAGTGCATCTGTCCGAACCGGCAACTCTATTTTCAAAACTAAGACCCATTCCATCGAGTGGATTTTGTCTTCAACTAACCTGTACGAATTTTCTTTATCAAATGGTACGTCGATTGACCACTGAACTGATTCATGTCGCACAAGGACTGTCAACACTTGAAGAATTCGAAAGAAAATTACATTCTCCCAATCAAAAGCAAGTTCCTCTCAATGAAGATCAACTTCTAGATATCAACGGTCTTTATTTGCAAAACGTGAAGTACGATGAACAAGATTTTCAACGTTATGTTACCTATACAACATTAACAACAATGAAAACTAAGTTATATCCATTAGCACCTGTGCTCACAGGTGAAGAATGATAAATTGTTTTTGATAAATAAAATATTTAGACAGTTAAACATGTTGTATTCGATATCAATTGTTATCATAGTTAACAGGTATTCATTACCGATCTGCATGAGCATGACGTTCAATATAAATGAACAATGAGATTCTATCAGATAATCATGCTATTGATAAAAAGAAAGAAAAACGATGTTGGTCATTATGAAAATCGCCTTGTCGACTTGCGAATCGAATATCTAGTTAGATAAAAACTTTTTGACAAGTTTTCAAAACTTATTAGAATCAATCGGTTTCAACGAATGACATTTCTCGCTAAGTGCACAATCTCATCTAAACTAATGAAGTACTATTGCAAATCTATTTGCGTACGCTGTCCCTGCGTAATTATCTTGCATTTGTGTTCGTTACTCTCCTTGTCTCTCTTTTTCTCTATCTCATATGTCCACGAGAACACTATACAAATCAGAAGTCATCCATATACTAATGTTCTTCTTCTCGATATTTTTCTTTCTTTCTTTCTCCTTCTCTTCTCATTCTCCGTCTTTTTATGTGCGACTAATAAGCGAGAAATAAAGCGAAACATTTTGGCTATATTCATATTACAATTGTATTTGTGTATCTCTATCTATTCTATTAAAAAAAAATCAAACTATGATGCCAATGTTCTTCCTAATTCTGTTCATCCTCAACAAAGCCAATGGTAAATTTGTGTTAAACGCGGAAAGCTCATCGATTGTTGTTCTACGACATATTCGTCTGATGACAGATGATGAGTATTATCGTATTCGTTGTCCATACCATTTGAATCACTTAACTCTCACATTACTGAACTATTCCAATGGGATCTGCTATGATTTGTACACGAAATCTATCAATGATGGCTGTATGAACTATCGGTCTCCTTGTCGCTACCACGCCAAACCTATTCAACTGAGTTGCAATAGCCAACCATATTCAAAACATGTCGATATCACTTATCAATGCTCGTCATCACCTTCGAAATTGTCTCGAATATTTTTACCCGACAATGAAAAGTAAGTTCAGACAAATTAAATCGAAACATTCCAAAATTTTTATCGATGATATACTACTAGAAAAGCAATATCTCCCATCGCAAATAATCTACCTTTTCTTTCTACACATCATCCACCCAAAGCTGCAACTGTGCATGCGTTAACATTTCCATCAATGTCATCACATATTGAAGAAAGCATCGGAATATTTCTTGTTGGCCTAGTAACAGTGTTTCTTCTGTGGTTAACCGTATGTTGTATATGGTTCATGCGTTGTGGCCACATAAATGAAGAAGATGATGGAAAATGCGAATTATTATCCTTTCAACCTGCTCAACAAGCAGATCTAGTTGATTTTACCGTGCTCACTGAACGCATGCCTACGATTGTTGGAAATCTCTCCGGCCATACAAGTACAGGTGGACTTGAAGCTGTTCGCCTCCATGTCAATCCCATCGAAAATAAACGTATATCATCATTGAAAATGACACAAATCGATTGACAATCGATCACTATGCTTGTGTAACACACCTCTCTATACAATAAGTGCTTACACATGCATACGTATATGTGTGCATGCACACATGATAATGATCAACACATCATCGATCGTTTTCAATTGTCGACTATGTACTGTAACATAATGAATAACTACTTTTCAACTTGACTTGAGCAATTTTTCATAAAAAAAAACGAAATGTAAAAAAAATCTTAATGATCACGTTTCAAAATAAAGTCATGTAATCAGTGAATCTTATTAATACACTTTACTTCGAACTCAACATTGAAGCAGTGATGATCTTGTAGATAAATCACATAAGGCGATTGATCATCTACGCAAGAGCATTTGTAATTAATACTCATTTCGATCGTAGTGGTATTCAACAAAATCCTAACTTTAAGTAGCTTCATTATTTTCATTTTCGATGGTCAATTTTGTGTTTCCACTCCGTAGGATTTAGTCATTTGATACTAAGACCAAAAACACGTCATCTTGATGAGTATACATGCAGGTTATATCATCATTAATGAGAAAAAGAACTTCTATCTGATTCGATACATTATACTAATGATAAAAAAATGATGATTCTTATGTAGATAGTTGAACTAGTTGTTAATCGACAAGAAGTGAATAATCTCTGTTTAACAACTTAGATCGAAAGTCATTAGAATTTCTATGATTTCCAAACGGCAATGACTTTTCCATCTGAGATCATCATGAATACAAACTTACCCGTTATTATGATATGCTATTAACGTAAAATCTTGTTCAGCTATTGGACATAATTATCTGAAAGTAAAGAGGAAAATAAATTCCTGGAAGCGACATGTTCAACGATTGTCCTTGTGCGTAACAATACTGACAGATGATCATAAATATCGAAAAATAATCTTATTTTTAGTAACATTGCGGTTGGTTTGCATTCTTTATACATTGTCCGTCGACAGATTTCTCAAAGAAGAATTCCAAGAATGTTTGTCTTTCAAATATTTAAACGTTTTATTCTTGTTACAGTCGAACTATCCTTCTTACTTATCATTTAATAAACAAACCCTCGTGTTTTTTTTTCTTCTTGTCTTTTAGTTGAAAAATCAACCGAATCTGCTCTGTTTTATCAACATTGAAAAGTATCAAACGAGGATAAAACAGACGAGACAAATTAGTATAGCAACAAAAAAAACCACAGACAAAGAGTAAAGGAAAGAAAAACAAAAAAATATATATGTATATCTATATATTGATTTCTTCCTCAAAAATTTTCCTTTGTTTTCTTTTCGAAGACAAACGGTTCACCAGAAAGGAACACATGCACAGAAAAAAATACACATCCCTGAGCTAGGAGTCGAATGGGAAATGTAATATAGAAAAATAGTAAGAGAAGTTAAAGTTGAAGAAGACAGAAAGAAAGAAAGGAAGAAGAAGAATGAACAAACCAGGTTAGCGAAGCAAGAAACACACACACATCCACGCGCGCGTATACACATACAACAGGAGCTGTCCAAGTATAATAATATAGAAATATAAGTTAGAGCAATAGAACAACCGAAAAAAGAAAAACTCCTTTCTGTTTCTTGGGCGTTTTTTATACATCAAGAAAAGCCGAGCAAGTTTTGGACGGCACGTGACGCTTCATCATCTTGGGTTTGATTGTTATCTTGATGATGATTATCAATATCAAGATCATCGAAGAAGAAATTCGCCGAATCTGATATATCAATGGGATTTTCCTGTTGTTCGATGGCACCACAATCAACAATGGAATTAATTGCCAATTGAGTTTCATCCGTTGTTCGAACGCTTTCGTCAGGGGCTGAATCACTATTGAACAGTTCATTATAATCAGCGTCAGACATAGTTGGACCAAGATTATAATTTGAATTATTTGAAAGGAAATCATATGTTGCAGGAGGTGGAGATGAATTTGGATCAATGACTGGCACGGCACTGGGCCTATCTGAAAATTAACAATGAAAAGTCGTACTGTGAATGTTCATGTCCGTGCGGTGTGAATAGCTTACTGTCAATATCAATTGCGCGTCGTTTTCTTGTTTCATAATCACTTTTTTCGATTTCTAACTGTTCACGTAGGTCATCAAGTTGCATTTTTTCTAATAAATATTTATCAAAAGATTCATTATTCAACTAAAAACGAAAACAAGAAATAATTCGATCAAAGATTCATTCAAGAAAAGAACTTTACATGATCATTAGATACAGTAAATCTGGATATGGCTTCATTGATACGTTCACTAGCAGTCAACAAACTTCGAGCTTCGATTTCGAAAGATTCATCGACTAGAAAAAATGAAGAGATGACATTTCATAGAAGAAAAAAGAACGTGAAGCATTTCCAGTGACTTACACTGTCGACATTCGTCTTCCGTAGGTTCGTAAGCGGGTGGTGCTGGTTTAGTAAATACATGGTATCGTGTTAAGCGTTTTATCGCGTCACCACGTGTTAAAAAGCGTGTTTTAAAATCTGGTTTCAAAACATGTGTTTGATCCTTTCGTAGTTGCTGACCGATTCTGATATTTATACAAAAGATTATAGAGACATTTGCAAAACAAAAGATAACTTACAAATCGGCACTTGATATACGTAAAGAACGCGCGATATTTGCATTGCCAGTGTTAATAGTTGTGTTTGCTGTTGCTACAGTCGAACCAGGTGGAGCACCCAATAGAATTTTCGTTCGAGGATTCTAAAAAAAGATTGCGATTCTTTGCCTTTCGTTTTACTAAAATATTTTCTGCAAATCACTTCGTGAAACTATGTGAAAGAACTGATTCCTATTGTGAGATAACGAAGAATCATTGCTCAAAACTCATTAAACTCTAATATAAGGAAAATTGTCAACTAACCACAGTTAATGTCGTTGTTGTATTCATGCCACTAGCTGCATTTTTAGCTAAATATTTCGGTACTAATTCTCTTTGTCCTCGAGCAAATTGCTGCTGTTTTTCAACTGGTAACGCCGCTATTTGCATTTCTAGCTTTTGGATTTGGAGTTTCTTTTCGAGTGATAATTCCATGGGTAAAATCTTTTGTGCCTAAGTTAGAAACAAAATACTTGAAAATTGAAAAAAGTAGTTCGATATATAATTTTACTTGTAAATCAGGTAAGTTCACATGACGTAGCTTTTTCAAAACAGCATTTAATAATTCATCTTGTTTCGCAAGTGGTAGCTGTATCAATGTCGTACCATTCGGTTTCTGTTGCGTTCCAACAACGGAAGTCGTCATTGCTGTCGCTGCTGTTGTCGTCGTCGTCGTCGTTGCTGGTATGATGGTCACTGATGTTTCACGTTTAATCGACGGATTCGATAATAAAGTATTCAATGTAGTTGACTGATCGAGTAAACGCTGACGATGTTGCCCACTTATCCGAGATTGTTCAACTGACTGTGATAATGTTTCACGATATCGAATAATTCGTGTGCAGAATTCACGATCCTTGTCAGTCGACGAATGGATTTGAGACAGATAGGTATCGATTAATGTAATTTGTTTTTCAGCATCTAAATCGATATTTTCAGGAAAAGTATATAATTGAAATCGTACATAAAAAAAAAAGGAATCTTACCACTCCCACTTGTTTGAAGATCATTTACTAATTGTGTAGTGAGATCACTGTTCGTTGATGTAGATGAATCTATATCGTACACGGAAAATGAGTATTTCTTTATCGAAATCTTCAGTCGACTTTTACTTTTATCAATGGATTTCGAAAGAATGTTATCATTGTTTGGTACTTGAACTATTATATTACCGGTTTGTGGTTTGGACAGTATTGGAGTACTTAGTCTTTGTCCAGTAGGCAACATCAAGCTGAAAATATATTTTTATATATCGAAACTGGAAATTAAGGAGAAAACAGCAGCTCGTACTTTGTTGTTGGACTGCTCGTCGTCATCGTTGATGTATTCGGTGGACGAACAAACCGCAGTGTCGTTGCTGCTGGTGAATTGTTCCCCAAAGAAACTTGTGAAAGTAGAGATCCAGTACCTGGAAGAAAACCAAAATATCCAACGTAATTCTCCAAAAACAAACACGAAATTTACTATTTTGTGTTGCACCATTTTGTAGAATGTGTGTTGAAGTACTTGGTTGACTGATAGTCGTCGTCGTTGTCGTCGTCGAAGGCTTAAAAATTTCAAATTAGCAAATGTGTTATTCAGAAAATCACCTTTACCGTTGTAGATTGCTGTGTCGACGAATACTTTTGTTGTAAAAGTCTTGTGAACATATTCAATGGTATTAACGTTTGATTTCCATTGATATTGATTGCAACCATTTGTTGCTGATTCGCTGTGGTTGTCGTTTGAACAGCTGGTTGTTGTTGTTGGATAACTGTTTGGTTTAAAATGACATTAACATTCGTTTGCGAACCAATCGTTTGACTGAGTACTCTCGCTGCCTCGTTGGTATTAATTTGTTGTGGATGTTGTGCTTGTGCTGGAGCAAGATTAGTTAACGATGGATTCGTATTGAAATTGAATGTATTTTGTGTAATTTGTACATTTGTATTATTAGTTGTGTTTTGATTATAGATATTATTTCCAGTAGGATTGACATTTGTTGTAGACGATCGATTTTGATCAGTAGTATTAGTTAGTAGGCGTTGTTGAGATCCAGGATTATTCGATGACTAGAAGAAAGCGAAAGATGAGAGAATTTTCGAAGTGAATTTTAGTTTTTCTATTTACAGATTTTGCTGATGAACGAAGAAATGCATCGAGTGCTGCTGGATCTCTGTGAAACAGAATGGAATGCAATGAGATCAACGAACGTGAAGTGAATCTTACTGAATAATGTCGATAATTGATCGACCTTGACTCATAATTTTGAAGGACGCTAAAATGAGAAAAAGAAAGTCAAGACAGAATGGAGGAATGAATATTATTTACCAGAATTTAATCAAATAAATCATCTAACATAAAGAAAGGTTTTCTTTATTTATATAACATTACATCTAGAAAATAAACGATCAATGAAAATCTCCTCCTTGGATTCTTGGGAGTCAAATGAGGTACAACACATGAGAAACATTTTCTTTCTGATAGTTTTCTGAAGTTTTTTTTTCTTTCTTTTGTTTCCTTTTTTATTCGAAAATAGAGATCATCGATTGCTCTTTAATTGAGGTTACGTTTTTTGAACTCGTGAACCGCGATTTTTGCTAATATCGAACAAGGCCAAAAACAGAGAAAAAGAGAGAACAATTCTGTGACTCATTTACAAGACCTCACTTTGCTTTCTTGTCGGATCTATCTCTCTCTCTCTCTTTCTCTCTCTCTCCTTTATTGAAAAAAAATATATATCGAAAGAGAGAGATTTTTCTCTTATCGCCATCTTGTCAGTCTGATGTTGTTTGTGTTTGATAGAACATCAGTGGAGAGGCCTCGTCGACGCTTTTCATAATACGCGAAAAAAAGATAATCAAGAAGGAGCAAGTATTTTTGAAAAGTTTATTGTTGAAAAAAAGAATCGTTTGTGTAAAGAATCATGGTGAAAAATTATCCGAAGAATGCGCAGTAAAGATGGCGTTGTGTAAAGGTGAACGAAAAGCTGTACGTGTATTTATGTAGGAATACCTACGTATTACTGAGCGCCACTGTCTCATCTAACTTTCGGCGACAACTATTTATCAGTTCGACATGCAGAATGGAATAATTACCGCGCGAACCGACCTGGACAAGCAGTTCGATTTGTCTCTGATTACATAAAAAAAAAAATCTTGTTTGCTTTTTCACATGAGTCAAATGAAAACAAAGGACCTTCCCGACTCGTAAAATTTCGATTAAAGTTAGGCAATTTCTATGTGCAAAGCGAATAGGGACATAGTTAGCGTCCTCTTCTGTTTCGTTTAGCGAGCGTAACATCGATTTGATTGGTGAATAGCAAATATTGTCACTTTGAAAAGTCTTCAATCAACGGTTGGATAATCCGTGAAGCATTTTTGTCTTTGTTGGCTTGTCAGCAACACGTCATCAATTATGATTTGAATTAAAGTTCATTGTTATGTATACCATGTCTCATTTAATTTGAGATATATACTATTTATCACAATAAAACCTTACATGGAGCTAGGAAAATACTTATATTTCATATTTGTTGTGATATTCTTCGTATGCATTACCTGTTCTGTTGGTTATTTGAATGATTCAAAAGTTAACTGTTTACAAGGTCCTGATTTTTGGTGTTTAAATGAAACAACTGAATTACTATGTAACTTTCACAATAAAACCATAGGTTTATGTGGTTATACGAATAAACAATGTCAGATTAAAACAGGCGACGATTTCTGCAAATCAGCTCCACCAGCTCAACAACAACCAGCGCTTGAATTCAACGGTGGTCTAACCGGTGTTGACGATGATTACTTTTCGTATTATATTCTCAGTCTTTATTGGCCACCATCAAGTTGTCCTCAACGATATAATGAAACAACCGATCTACTACGTTATTTTTGTTCACCTTATACCGATCTTGGTCAACCAGGTAGCGAACGATTGGCTTTACATGGTCTATGGCCAACTTTTTCAACCGGTGGGAATTATCAAGGTTGGCCGCAGTTTTGTTCATCGCAATTTCAAGATTGGTCCAGTTGTCATATTAATGGAGATTTATGTCCATGGAAAAACACGTCACGAAGTGATTTTTCCCAAGGGAACTATGAATATTGTTTAGCAAGTGAAAATGTTGATGACTGTCTGATCAACGGAAGAGAAATTCTCGAACCTGAACGTGAACGGTTGAAAGTACTAGCTCCTGGATATCTCAATAAATTCAATTTATTTATCAATCATGAATGGACGAAACATGGTAAATAGACAACAAAATTCTCTAATTTCAATAACGTCATTTGTCTTCATCTTCAAGGTTCATGTTGTTCGTCAACATTTCGTCATAATATATCGAACTACTTAACACATATGCTCGATTTAGCTGACATGGTAACGCGACCGGGCAGTTTAACTTATCAGGTAAAGACAAAAATAACTTTGAAGGCTTTTTCTGTCGGCAAAATATTCTCACTGATGGAGTTATTCTGAACAGTTGCTCAAGACAAACAGAACCTTTGTAATTAGTAATGTCTCTGTTACTCTAGTCCGTCAATATTTTCATAAGTAATTGCGGAACAATCGTGTCGTAATGCAATAAGCTGCACATATCTACCGCTCCTGTTGAAAATCATTTTTAGATGATGGATTTGACTGACAAAGGGAAATTGTCTTGTTGCAAATCAACCAAAGTTATTCATCATTTCTTCGATGCGTGCTTTCTGGTGATAACATATGTTACTTCATCAAGAAATAATGAGAACGTGTAAAAATGACGTTTTATCATAGATGATTTCTTCTCTAAGAAATGATAATGAAGAGTTTTTACTCGGATATACATAATTAGTTTGTATCATAGGACTTTGTTGAAGATTCTTTCATGGAGCATAGAAGATTTATTGAAGATATCAGACCGGATCATTTTCATCTCCTCAGGGCATCTCTCTCAGATTGTTTTGTATATTTTGGCATCGATATCGTTTTGTTTTTAGCCAAACTCGATATATTTCATAATTAATAGATCATTATTTGTTTTTTTTAGCACATTCAACGTTATGCTGGAGAGAAAATCGGTCTAGGCTATCTGATATCTGTACTTAATCAAACGTCGATTATCAATTGCAACAATCGATGTGAACTGGAAGAAATTTGGATGTGTATGAGCCGTCATCATCATACAGGTTTACCAAATCAATTAATTCCTTGTCCAATGGGCGCATTTCATACAAGTGATTCGTGCCAGAAGTCTCGATGCGAATATGTTTCTATCCCTCTACGAAACAAAGCTTCATTTACAAGCGATACCATTACTGAAACGTATATTCCAAGTTTAAGGACAAAACTACTTATTTTCATACTCGTATTAATCATCGTAAAACCTATCGTCATTGTTTTGGGTGGATGCTGTGCATATCTTCTTTCCCACTAGTCAGTTACGTGTACAGAAGAAAAGAGAAGGCTACTAACCATCATAGATAGTTGTAAATTGAAGTATGATCTATGTGTTTCCCGTTGGTGAATAAATAAAGACTATTTTGGATATTATATTTATATCAAATAAGGGTTGTAAAAGAACAAAAAAAAAAGGTTAAAGACTTCTCTTTAGTTCAAATGACTCTGTTTGCTTTTAACGATTCCTTTTCGCAGCAGCTTCTCGTAACGATTCGATATCGTCTTCGGTGATTTCGACGAGTTGACTAACTAAATTTGATTCGTTGAGTAATGCCAAGTAGAGCTGATCAACTTTCGGACGTTTCGGTTCAGGCAATGGTACTAATTTACGAGTTTTAGGATCAATTACTTGTCCACCACTGCCAGTTTGCATATAATGAAAACACGGTTCCTCTCGTTCGATTGTTGAACCACGTATTTGATCGTATTTTTCAAATTCAAGTGTATAATAATCAGTTGGTGGCAGTGAACGTGTTGACATACCTATTAAAGCATGAAAACAGAACTGAATTGAATATATATTTCATATACAAACCTTTCTTATAATCTGTTAAAGGGCCAATGAAGGCATAATCATAGTTCGCCACTAATCGAATACCTTCCTCTCGACCTGTAAGTATACCCATGTTTGATTAAATCTGAAGTAACGAAAAAAGAACGACGAGTTGTTAATATGACAATGTCGACATACTTTGATTCCTCTTGTTATATTATCGAATGTTCTGTCGATCGTTAGCAGTTGCAATGCTCCCTCTCTCTTAGCTAATGAGTAGATGTTCCTTCTATAATACTTTGCTTATTTTCATCCTTCTCTTTCCCTTCTCTCTCTCTCTCTGTCATTCTCATATTCCTTTTTTCGCTGTCAATATAAAATTCTCTCTTCAACTCTAACGAAAAGAAACCAGAGAAAAAAAAACTGTTTATACATGTCATCTTTTCTGCTGAGATTATAGATGTTTATAGTTGATCTACGCTTGGTACACACACGTCTCGTTTTCCTCTTATGAAATAGATAGGTGATGACACATTACCGTAAGAAGCAATTGCCCGCTCTTCGATGTGCCCAATACTATCACCGAGCTTAACTAGCCCTTGATGAATGTACTTGTCAGTAACAAAGCAATAGAGATTCTACTTTTTTCTCCTGTCTTCAATGACAATCAGGTGACTAAATGTCACAATAAAGAGGTAGTGAACAATGAAAAGAGAAACATATTTAGGAAATGGATACTTTTCATCAAGGCACTTCAATAGCTCGCTGTCTGATACATTCACCTTCGAAAGATACTTATTAGTGATATATCAACGGAAATAGAGAACAGAAGTTCGAAGACAGCTGGATGTGTCATTACAAACACCATCTGAATAGATACGTTTATTTATCTAGATTAGAAATAGAGAATATTCAGTTGACCGAATGACATTCAATATATCATACTGTTATCGTCTGATTTGCGCCTTTAGAAAGATCAAGTTGGTGATGCTACGCTTATTAGAAACGAGTTTCTATTACTGATATTTATACACATAATGTGTCAAAAACTGTCAACAAAAATAGAAATAAACATCGCTAATAGAATTCAAATTTTTAAATCATTCTCGAAGTTTTATGAAACGTATTTTCAAGATTCACGCATATGTCAACATGTCAGTAATAAATACATGAAATCGTTCTGTTTATTGTAGGATATGAAGAAAAAAATCAACCACGTATTGACACTATCAATATTCTGATAGTTAGGAATACCATGAATGAAGAAAACTGATAGTAGCCAAAAGAAAATCATGTGCAAAGTGGATTTATTTTCATCTTTAGAAACATTATGACGAGTGTAAAAGAAAATATTGATATGCAGGAAACGCTTATTGACAAAATACGATCTGAAGTATCTGATGAACGTTGAAACTGTACTTATTACGAAGTTAGTAAACGTTCTACATATGAGGAAAGAGACGTCACCAACAAGGCCGCATGTGATATATCGATTGTACTAACGACGGAAAAAAACTGACTGACAGGTCGGCCGTTATCTGTCAGCTCCAACATTACATCTACAATGGAATATTTAATCATCATTAAACTATATTTATGTGTTCTAGTACTTGTTTTTCTTATTTCTCAGTCTTGTATGTATTTGTGTCGAAAGAAGAATCATCTGTAGACTGTTAATATTTATTGTCGTACAATCGACGATAACTAATTAGATTTCGATGTATTGCCACTTTTAACCCAAATGGTAATGCCTTATAAATTGTTATTCAATGGTCACCCTGCTGCTTTTTATATTAGCCTTCCTAACAACTGTAAACGAAGTAATGAAAATGAGATCCAATTGATTCGAACAGTAATGAATCCCATGAAATTTCTTTCATATGTTTCGCTTTATAAAATTCGTGATCTGTTTTCGGCCCGGTAATTATTTCCGAGTACGAAGCCATCTGTATATTAAATGAAAAAAACTATAACTGGCTGATGTTCTTGTTGTACTCGACGCTCTACTGTTTTTTTTTGATTACACAAATCAGTACGAATAGTCCTCATTTACTCGAGTGTCTTAGAAATAGAAAACGAAAACGTCAACTAGAGAAAGAAGTAACGATATAACAAGTATAACATCGAAGAAAGACGTCAGTAGTTTCCGATGTAAAAGAAGCTGTCCTTGCTCTCAATATGTCATTTTTCTTTGTCTTTGAAAATTTAGTTCCATGTACTTGACTGCATTTCGTTTTCGTTTATTACTTACCATGTTTTTTCAAGTTATAACTTTGACGTACGGATGTTTTCAAGTTCTCACATTCATTTTCTCGAGTACATAGATTTTCGAATGAACTTGTCTATACAATGACAGTCTACGTCATTGTATGTAATTGCAAAAGCTCAAGACTTTATATGAAATTATTTCATAACATCTAATCACTAAATACGCCAAAAATAAGTTAATGATTAAAATTAAATTGTCTGCTGATTGGTATATCATATTGAAGTGTCGATTGGTGGTAGAAGAAGCGGAGCACTTCCAATAAACGTTTCCTGAGCTTTGATTTCAAGATCGTATTTATCTAATTGTTTTGTACTCTGATTATCTAAACCAAATGGGGTATTGTAGTACGATCGATGTATTGACGACGCATCAGTAGTACTAGTTGTTGAGTGCGTATCCTGTATATAGTTATCGACGGATTCCCAGAATGTACTGCTTGTACCTGGATTAGGTATAACGGGTGCCATGGATGCTGGAAAGCCTGCTAGCTCCAGTTGTGAACTGTATTGAACTAGATCTTCAAGTTCGTTTTCACCCAATGTGATTGTTGGAGGCTAGAAGTATGAAGAAATTAGTATACACATGTATTTCGACTATCAAACATTTCGGATCGCAACCTTATTTATACTACGAGAAATCGATTGAATCGACAATGAGCTACTGCATCGCGATGAAGAAGTAGATGTATCGAGAGCCGATGCTGATGATGCCACAATCTGAGAATGAGGCGACAATGTACGTCGATGTGCGAGTTCGTTTTCATGCACGGGCATCGGTCCAGGTGGTATTGGTGGTGGAGCTTTCATTGATATCGGCGTTGGCGCTTCGGAGGAATGCCTTGATGCAGCGGATGCCGATGCCACAGAATCAATAGAAAGTTTTCTTGGAGCAATAAAACTACTAATAGGTGGCCGAGTAGATGTTCCATCACCTGATAGATTATTAGATGGTGTTGGTGCGATAGATGATTGTTTAGAACTAATCGATGGATTGATTGACGATGTTCGTGCTACCATCGGCGGCTTAGAAGTCACCGGTGCATTAGTTGGTGGAGTTGTGGTTCTTGAAGAAGTTACTGAACTCAAAGATGGATTTGTTGGAGGTTTTTGTGCTACCGGATTTGCTTTTGTGCCGATGTAGGGAGTGACAGGTGGTGCTGGCACATATGAAGGGCTTTTGTCAGCAATAAATTCTGATTTGGGCAAAGGAGACGTTGCTGGTGATGGCTGCAAAGAAATACATAGTTTATTAAATAAAAAAGAGGAAATTCAAAATAAAATCATGAATTGTGGTTTACTAACGGATTTAGCAGTTGTTTGAGGTACGGGAGTGCTCTTTCCACTCGTTGACGACGCTGTTGATGTTTGAGATTCTGTTGAAACAGATCGAGATCGTTTACCAGTAATAGGAGGTACCGTTTGGTTGCTCGTTGCTTGACGATTGTCTACCGAAAATTACGAAAAGTCAGTTAATCCGTTGTTGAAACAGAAATATTTATGAGAAAACCTGTGTTTGGTGGGATTTTCGTTTGTAATTGCTGGAAAAGCATGTGCTGAGATGCTAGAAGATGCTCAATTTCACTTCTTAATTCAATAAAATCATGTCGAAGCGAGTCCGACTGCTCGCGAAGAGCTTCAACATAGGTCGGTGTCGATGTCGAGCATCGAGAACATCCCGATGATATTGCACTTGCACTCGATATACCCGATGGCAAACGTTCTTTCTTTCCAAGTGTTCGCAAATCGGTGGTAGATGTTACCTGATTTCGTTTTGGTTTTTGCGGTAGTTTCTTGATATAATAACGACGTTCAACAATCCGTTCAATACTTTGACCACCATTATCATTTGGCGGATGAACACGCTCTGAACGAATATCTTCGAATTTTTCCAAAAGCTTTTCGAAGAACCAGTCTTTATCATATTCTGCTGGTAAATCATCTAGATGAGAACTTAAAATCCGATCTTTACCAGAGAGATTATTTCTTGTAAACCAACTTACGAATTCGAATTGGTTGACACCCATGACCGTCGTCGTTGTTGTTTTTTCACCGAATCTTCTAGAAATTGATCAAAAGACTGTCGTGAATCTACTGAAGACATATCGTTAAATCGTGACTTGAATGCGTTTACTCTAAATACGTGTCCTTCTCTAGTATTTATACATAGTATCAATCATCCAGTAACGACCTCGTCTTCAGGGGAGATTTGTTTGTACGACAAGAGAAAAAAGAGTAAAAGAAAGGTTTTTTACCTATCAATAATCGTTCAACGTGATCAGCATACGCTAATTCTTTTCTACTTGATGTTTTCAAAATGCGTTTACTCTTTTTCGGACCGGATGTTTCATTAGTTTTCTGTGGTTGGCTCACATATTGTACATTGGGCACTCGAAGATATTCTTCTTCAAACAAGACTTTACTTTCATGCGGCAATGGCGGATCACCTAATTCTCCAAATGGTGGTCTCGTTCGTAGCGATTGTCGAACAAAAGACATGGCGAGCAAATATTATTTTCAATGATTTAGTTTTTTTTTTTGTTTAACACGAGACAATTTATACGTGCTCCAATCATACACCTACATAGACTCTACGCATGATCGAATCGTTGTTATTAAACAAGGACAACAATAATTGAGAACGTATACATGTGTATAAATGTCCATACGCGTGAAATAAAAAGCATTGCGTATGTTTTAGTTTTTCAAGATTTATTGCACGAAAGGAGAAAGAGGAAAAAACGTGGGTAAGAGCAAATGAAGGAAAAATTAAGTGTGTTGAGATTTGGCGCGTTCAGCACAAGCAATGGCTTTGCGTATAATATCTGTACATTTTTCGCGTCGTACTAATTTATTATTTTCGAAATAACCTTCGTTCCGTGGTAAACCATGTGAACCATCAGCAAAGGTTAAAAGGCCTAAACCGAAAATTTTGCCTTCTTGTAATTGTCCTTCGTATTTCATTCCATCACAGCGAGTAAATACACCTAAACCATGATATCGACCTTGAGAAAATTCACCATCGTATCTACACGTGAAATTATTCGATGTAAAGTGATTTTTTCGATGTTAATTGACGTCCTACTTCGATCCATCAGGATAAGATATCGAGCCAAGTCCGGCAAAAAGCCCGTTTTCGAAACGACCGCGATATTTTGCTTGATCATTGAATATTAATTGTCCGAAACCGTGCCGTTGACCATCTTCGTTCCACTCGCCTGTTTTTATCCAAATAGTAACAATGAAATTTTTCCCCTAAAATTAACTTTACCTGTGTACTCCGAGCTATCAGGATATCGATATGTTCCTTGCATGTTATGTTTTTTTTCTTCTAGAAGATGAAAAAAATCAAAGGAAAATGTATGCGTAAACGCCCATCAGTTGCGAGTTAAATACGGATGTATGTCGTACATACACAAAAAAAAGTTCAATGAATGTAAGAGGAAGAAGAAGAAGAAGAAGAAAAGAACAAAATGAACGAAACATTTAGTTCATTTTATCGCTCTTCACTGTTATATAGATATGTGGACAAAAAGAAAAATGTCAACTGTGTATGCACGGTTTTTATGTTTGTTCTCGTCGATCAAATGAATAGATCGGGATGGCTACGGTGTTGATTGAGTTTCTTTGCACAAAAAAAGGAATACAAAAGAGAGAAAAGGACATAATGAGATTGCCAATATTTTATTTGATTTATTTTCTTATGGATTTATTCTCATAGAATATCGGACAGTGCGTGTGCATACAATTTCATTCGTTTTTCGGTTTCTAATTCAGTCAATTTTGTTGTGATTAAATCAATAGATGATGTGGACGATGTGGACATCGTTGTAGCTGTTTCACTAATTAATTCATCATCATCTTCTTCGATATCATCCATACGACCAAGTCCAATATTTGACATCGATCGAGCTAATGATGGCCGATAATTTGATGCTTGACTTCGAGTCAATAGACGTTTTGGTGGTTCATTGATTGTTTTATCTGCACTTGTTAAATTCAACGATGATGAAATGGACAGTCGACTTATTTGACGACGATGTTTCTCTCGTACATATTCACGTAGAGAATCTTGTAAACGGTGATGGAGTAGATCAACAAGACATTTAGCATCATCTTCACTGGAACACAAACAAGCATGACAACGAAGCTAAATTGAAACAAAATCTCCATCATTACTATTCGATTTCATGCATAAATCAATCTTCTAACTCACTTCTGTCGTTAAACCTGATCGTATATTTGCATGTCGATAAATCCAAATAAACATCTTGGGATTGAGTTTACTGGCAACCAGGTAATAGGCAATACGATTTGTACAGTAGAGTGTTATGTCATTTGTCGTAGGCATTTTTGTACAACTTTCTGCTTGTAATCCACCATTTGTGATCGTTAAACGAAGTTTTCTTCCTAAACGTCCTTGATTTTTCACGTGCATATCCCAAAGAATCTTAGCTGGCCGATCTGCACAACCTTCTCCTCGCGTTAACGATGTGGCTACATTTCCTAGATAATAAACTTTGAATATTGACGGGCGTTGATTAACATCAAATGATGCTCGACGTTTATTGCCTAACAAACGATTCATAGAATGTTCTATTCAAAAGAATAAATGATCTGAACAACAACAAAAAAACCAGAGTATATATACATGTATATATGCATAGAAAGCAAATAAAGAATAAGAAGAAAAAAAAACCCGAAATGTATTGATTTTTTTTTCAAAGAAATATGAACTCATGTTGTAATCTCGAACAATTCAAACTTTGAATGATAAAGACGACGAAGGAGAAAAAAGTGTGGAGTGTATGATCCTAACACGTTTACTCATTAGGAGGTTTTATTTCTTACTTGTCTATTATTGAGATTAAGAGACGGAGAGCAACGGACTTTTCTTTCATCATTGACATCGTAATCGGAAAGCATTTATACTTGTTTTATTTTTCATCTTTATCTCACCTGTACGTGATTCAGCACGAGTTCGATGACTAGTTTTGTCTTTCTCTGAAATATCATTCTTTTTTTGTTCATTCTCTCATGTAGATGTACATTGGTCGAGTCCAAAATTGTTCTTTCTACCGCTGCGGTCAACGCGTAGATGAACGTTGACCGATGCGAGAAAGAAAAACATTGAAGAAACAGAAAAACACCCTAGCATCGCGCACGGATATCAATAGATGTCACAACTCTTGAGATCAACTCTTAAGTTTTCGCAAAAAAAAAGGAAGTTCGGAAGATATAAGATTACTAATAAAATACTCTCTTGGATTTCTCACTTGTCAATTTACGAAGATCACGTCGTTGATAGTCAATATGAAGGTGGATGATATGCATTCTAACACCTTAAATTATATTTGATGAATGAGAATAAATGTCAATAGAAGTTTTGAAAACTTACTTAGATAAATGAATATTTACTGATTACTTTATTTCATAGCAAAGCTAACTTTTTTTTACCGACTTTCACGACTTCAGAAAATACGAGAAAACCTATACATGATGATTAGAAAAGCTTACGAAACGCTCTCGCTCAGCACACACAAATCGACTACACAGTTGACAAGTTCGAAAAGCATTACTTGAGATTCTTTTTTTTTCCTCTGAATAGTTGTATAACCTTCATCCATGTCTCTCTCGCTCTCATAAACTCATATGCCGTTTGGCTATACATAAATTTCACTTTGTTATTCAATTCAAACAGACGGTTATTTAAAGTTTGTCTGACTAGTTTATCAACACGAGAAAGAAAAACCTAATTTTGTTTAATTACACCTGTTGTTTTACTAGACCGTAAAACAAAAAGAAATGACAATGTTTACATTACTTTTCTATTAATATTCAATCACGTCACTCACGTCTATACCACAGATTGTAACCTACCCACCTTCCTGCAGTTATTTTGGAGAGTGAATGATCATGATGTAACAATGTTTTTGAATTTTTTTTATAGAATAAGACATGTCTGTTGCATAATCGTACACGAAATAATACCGATCGTAAAACCATTCGATCAAAGTATACACAGAACTTTAATACATCATTGAAAAGTGTATCTTTGTATGAAAATAAGATAAACCTGTCTTTGTTGCCAATAGTTTACGATGGAGACGATAATGCATATACCTGAAAGTATACATTCGGTATTCTCTTGAATATCTAGTGCTAATGACTGTATCCAGTAAATAGTCCAAAGGTTTAATCGCATTAAGAACATAAATTCTTCTTTATCTACATTGGAATATACCTGGATAACCTTCAGACCTTGTTTTATTACACTTTGTTATTTACTACTATTGATTGATATTGACACTATCTGGTAATCTTAGAGAACACGAAGACTTTTGTTTTTTAGTAATCGATATGAATAGTTTCGAATACTATTGACATCGATGCGATTGTTTAAAGATCATTGCCCACAGAGTACCTAGTCTGATGCTATTTGAATCAGCAATTATATTTTTGAAAGAGATTTTTCCACAACACTGAATGTTAATTAGAGAAAACTTGGAACTCTATTATTGAAATTCTTTTTTCCTAAGAGAAAAGATTGCGCTGATACGTTTTTTGTTCTGAAGACAAATAATTTGCAAGATTTTGTAGAGATCTATCTCCTATTCCATGACAATCACGTATTTATTTAATAATTCTGAAATTTCGAAGACAAGAAAACGAAGAACGAATGGGCTGATCAACAGACAAAAAGAAGAAACGAAATGTGTATCCATCACTGTTGGACTCAACATGAATTATGTTATGTATGTATATATATATATATATGCAAAAGAAAAACGAAGAAGAAAAGTGCTTTTGTCCCACCGGTGCGAAGCAAATGATACATGAAATGCTTGCATATTGCACGGGACATAAAATACATAAAACAAAATGCAATTGTCTATCTGAATTGATGTTGCTGCTGTTGCTGTGGTTGTGCTTGTTGATATTGTTGAGGATGATGATGATGGTGATGATGATGATCTTTTCGATATTGTTTTGCATCGAGTTTTTCACGTTCTTTAGCCTGTTTTTTCGTTTTGTATCGATGATTTTGAAACCAAATTTTGACCTAAAATCAACAGAATAAACATATGTTATTCTTATTCGGATGTGTCTGCTTTGTGAACTAACTTGTGTTGGTGTTAGTTGAAGTATGTTTGCAAGATTTTCACGTTCAGGTGCGCTAAGATATTTCTGTTGTTTGAACCGTCGTTCCAATTCGTAGATTTGCCCTTGATTGAACAGTATGCGTCGTTTTCGTTTTTGAGATACGAATGGAAATTGTGCATAGGCTGACTTCATCATTGGATCTTGATGATGTCCGTAGACACTCGCTGCTAATGCTGCACTATCAACTGCTGACGACGAACCAACAAGGTATCGAGACACTAGAGAAGAACCCAATGCTTTCATCTGCTAACAAATCCTCGAATGAAGAAAAACTACATACTTGCTGCTGATCCGTACCAACACGAACTTGGTGAGTACTGTCCAGTGACTGGATTCGAGTTTCCACCATTTTGAAGCGTGCTACTGTAGTCATAGTATTGATTATTCGGTGAGAAAGCTGATGTGGATGTTGCCGTTGGTCCATAGTAGCCATTGTGCACAGACGATGGTCCAAATGAAGGATTACACAGACTAGCAGGCGTAACACTTGTCGCTGGACGTTGAGGATTGTAAGCAGATGATGACGAAGCAAGTGCGTGCGCCATTTCTAATGAGCGCTTGTAAGATATTGACGCATCGGCATCTAATGGTTGAAGAATATCTGTAACACTGAATGGCATGCCGGAATTACTGACAGCTGTTGAGGGAACCATAGAAGTTGGAGTCGAACTACGTTTGACTGAACTAGAATAGAATAGTTCAGTTTTCTTTTATTTATTTATGATAGTCAGTCGTATTTAATAAGAAAAAGTTCGTTTCTATGAAATCAAATATGTGTTTGATTATTTTGAGAGTGTCATTAAAGAATGCATCAAATTTCCTCAAGATTTTCCTTCGTTTTTTTTTCTCTCAAAGATCTAATGTTGACATGTTTTTTCTTTTTCTTCTTTGTTACAAGTGATTTTAAATAGGATTTGAAGTTTCGAAAAAAATGAAGAGTAAACGATTGTTTAGTTCTAAATTAAAATGATAAAAGAGTACTTACTGATTAGGATAGTAAGCAATAGAATCGATTTGTTCCTGTTTTGCCATGTCGAATAAAGTGAACAAGAAGTTTTCTTTATGAGTGGCTCATTCAATAGAATAACTAGGGTACGAAGAAAAAGTTCGTGATCGTTGATGACGGATGTGCTGCTTTTTCTCTCTCTCTCTCTTTCACTCTTGTCAATGGTTAAAGTATGTTTCTAGATATTATTATTAATCGGTTTCTGCTCTTTTCTTCGTCTTTTCTACGAGTGCCATAAATAAATAAGAAGAAAAGAAAATAACAATTGTGTATGTATAAATGTACGTATCTATGTATGCAAGCAGCCACACAACACTTTACCTAGTAATGCACAAAAGATGATGATGATGATGTGTTTTTCTAAGTAAGAGAAAAAAGAAGAAGACGAAGGAAAGGAGCTTTTTATTTCGTCGTTTGAAGTTGACGCACTCAATGGGACAGAAGTGTCTTCTACAATGATGATGAATATAAGAAGTGCTTTTCTCGGCTGGTGTTGCGTTTTTTCAACGACGAAGTGGGGGATTATTAAACTGACAAGAGAGCGAGAGAGAATAGTTATGTTCATTTCTTCTTCGTCGTCGTTGTCATCGTCTTCTTTTTCTTCGTTATTTTCCACCAATCAGCACTCATTGAACGTTGTGTGTGAGCGAACGTCATTGGTGGATTTGTTTCCGACGAAGAAAGCTGAAGGAAACTAAACGATAAAAAATTGTACGCATCGATATATTGTGATTAACAGCCGACGCCGTTCGCTTGTCAATTAAGAATTGAGATAATTGAATTGTATGTAGTCAGACAAAATGCCACATTTGATCATCAAATAAAGAATTAATATCAAACGCTCGCGGAGAAATTCTTCTGATTTACAACATCTCATACTTGTTCTCCGAGGATATAACATACTATTCTATTCTATTCAATTGATTAGAGCGAATCACAAGTTACTCAAATGCGAACTTTCTAAGTCGAGAACGACTAGTAAATTCAATTCATGATGTTGTACGTACCGATTATTGCTTTGTTTGGATTTGAAAAAAAAAACAAATTCATTATTCATATATGTATATCATTCGAAATGTCACGTCATCGCATTGATAGCA